TTACGGAAGGAATTTTACTTTTCTATTTCTATTCTAGCGTATACCATCCCATTGGTTTTACATGTCCAGCAATGCTGTTGCCAAAACTCTTGTTACAAGAAACTGGAAAAGGAAATTTAGTTGGGTTGAATCAATCCCGGAAGATCTTCTCGTGAAATGTAAGTAATGGTCAAACCACTTGTCTCTTGTTGAAGGTATATCTCTTTCCTGACAGGTGCTGCCAGGACGAAGTGAAGCTGCAACACAGCATATCTTTTCTGACGCATCTGTAAATGTATGCTTGTTGTGCATTCTTACTCTGTGAGGAAAGAGCTACAGTATTCTTACATTTAGTGTCTGCAAAGGCCCGAGTAGCCCCGATGAACCAGCCTACTACACATAGAAATGGACCATCTCGGAGTTGCCACTGCGGCTCGATTAGCAAAGTCTGCTTTGGAAGATACCAATTTACCTTTAGAAATGTATTTTAGGACAGATTCTATGGTGGTACTGGCTTGGGTAGCTAAGAAGTAGCCCTGAAATAACATTATTGGCAACAGAGTTAAATTCGAGAGCTGACTGATGTCTGCTGAAGACATTTACCATCTTGTACTTGGCGCAAAGTGCTGAAAACTAGATGTTGAGACGGCCCTTCATGGTTAAGGAAACCGTGATTTACTTGGCCTGTAACGAATAAAGTTTGCCCTTAAAAGAAGCTTTACAACAGCGGAAAAAAAAAAAAAAAAAAAAAAAAAAAAAAAAAAAAAAAAACGTATTTTATGCCTCAACTGAGAAATTTAGATATCGATTTATGTGATCCACGAAATATTCTAAAGTTATTATGCATGATTGTTTGGATAATTAGATTTTATGACTCTTTAAGAAAAATGAAGCCAAATGTTACTATGTCTTAACCAGTGATGAAATAAAAAGGGCCGACATTTTACTTATCAAGTTCTCAGAGGAAATGGTTGTTAGATGACAAGAAGATAGATAAAATGGAATTTTAACCCACCAAGTGCACGGTGGTACTGTGGATGGCGGGAGGCGGGAGCGTATGATACGCAATATGAAAGCTGTACTGAAAAAAAAAATCTTGCCAAAACAAGTCTAAATATTACGACGAAATGTCAACGGCTTTATGCTATTGTAAAAATACAATCAATAAGAGACCATTAACATATTTGTCGGAGAATCCAGAGGAACCATTACCATTTACACCGGCATATTTCCTACATGAAACTCCCAGTTCTACTAATTGTGATACTCTTGATTTTGACACAATCGATGGAAGTCATTTGAAGAAAAGGATTGGATACTGGCAAAGAGTTCGAGATTGTTTTCGAAAGAGATTCCAAAAAGAATATCCGTCTGAGCTTATAAGAAATATAATCATTAACGCAAGAGGTAATATTCAAGTAGGAGAGGTGCTTGTGGGATCCGATAGCTCTAAAAGAATTAACTGCCCTTTAGCTAGATTGATGGAAATATTTACAGGACAAATATTACAGGACGAAATATTTACAGGATGGGAAACAGCGAGTAGCTCGATTGAAATTGGCGGATGTAGAAATCTTTTGTCTTTTTCGGCGGTTAGAAACTGCATCCTCAGATTTAACCCTTCAGGACAAAGCTGGAAGCTCAGGTCCCAAATTAGCCCTCAAAAGAAAGGAAGCAATTCGTTGCCCGTGATGCTTGAAAACCGCATCCTTCAGACGCAGTGATAGAATTGCTTCAAGTCCAGAAATAATACATATTCGAAGTAGACGATAGAAAGCAACCCAAAGGACTGAATTTATAAGTACTCTACCTTTATGAACATTGACAAAAGTGTCTATGTTTACAGTTTTTAAGGAATACATCAGTTTTATCTTGTAATATCTAGATGTACAAGAGAAATTTTGGAATTATGTTGCATATCGATATTCATTGTTAATCGGTTTTAGAAATGGGCTTTCATTTTGTATGTATCCATAACAAAAGACGTGTTACAATATAGAGAAAACTGTTTTATGCGTACCTTGTCTAATACTTCTAAGTTATTAAAAGTATCTTAGTAAGAAATTAAATAACGAATAGAATAAGAATAGTTTACGACTGTAAAAATTTTCTGTATTCCTTCTTTTGAGGAGTTACTTGTTTGAAATTTACTCAGAAAACTGACTATTGGTATGAAAAACATAGAAAAGACTGTGTTCCGTATTTGTAGCTTTATCGTTTGGCTAACGGCGCACTTTCCCGTCGCATTTTTGTTATTGTGCATTTATCATGTTAATCTGTTACATCTGGCAACAAGAAATAATGTAAAGTTTAGTCCCTGATAATTGACAACTGAGATACATTATTATTCTACTAGGCAGTAGAACGCTCACGCAACATGTTTTCGCTGAATTAACGCTGTCTCTGTTCTTGCTAAATAAATGATCAAATTATATTGTTAATTAAGCATCTCATTTCTTACTACGCTAAACAACGCTCACTACATCGCGCAGACTGAAAAAAAAATATAAAAGTGTGTGCCAGCACTGAACACTGTCATCGAGAATTCTAAACATAACATATGCTGCTTGCTGTTGAATTGTGTGAGGAGTGAATTTAGATAGCTTTTATAAATCTGTAAAAAGGCAGTTCCATGTTTTATCATAGATAACCAAGTGCATTTATTATTAGGCGGAAGGAGTACTATTTATTTTATTGCTAAATTTCTGTTTAGTGCGATACAGTCCTGGTAGTTCTAGCTGATTGCGTTAGATGTTTCCACATTTTTTACTTTTTTGTACGAGGTATTGTAATCGCGAAAACTTTCGGGTATCATATTTGAGCTGCTCCCGAAACCATTTGAACAATATTTGTGCGTGACGTCTGTACGTACGGACAAAATAAAGAACTGTTTTTGCCAAAAATAATTCTAAAATGGATTCAAAAGAGATTTTTTCTTGACATCTGTACGTAGCTATTTATGTATCTTGCATAACTCAAGAACGAGTAACCTTGAAACGTTGAAATTTTGCATATGGAACTGCTATAACATGTAGTTGAGCACCTCCCTTTTTCGTTGCTATTGGCTGCATTAGTCATATATATGATATGAGTCAGAATATGTATATCTCTCTATATATATATATACATATTCTGACTCTATTAAAAATTTTGAAGTTTGTCTAGTTTTTATAATTCTCAGATTGGTGCACGTCTAAAATATTGTGTTAAATACAATGCGCCTTCTTACCTAAATATTAATCCAAGATTTATACTTTGAATAAAACAGTAGTAGTAAGCCCATTTTCACATGTACACGCACTCGTACAAAAATAATTTTATTTCTCTATTAGTCATGTATAAAATCTAGACAAAATATGCCTTTTTCCATTGGTTAATAGAAAGCAAAACGTTGTTTGAATAATTACAATGTTAATTGAAAGGTTCTAATCTTTATCTGTCCCTTCACATAATAATTTATTCATATCTAATTCATCCCAAATCTTATTACTATGAATATTCCTCTCTTTCTTAGATTTTGCTGCGGAGACATTTGTTGTGTTCAATAACATAGCCTAGATATTAGCAGCCGGTTGATCGCAAAGCAGTTTCTTGTTTTCAAGTGATAATTTTTAATAAATCAACAAAAGCGTCACACTACAAAGAGCATAAGCATACGAATATAAGCTTATGTATGTCGGCAGAGGATAAGCAGCTTTTTTATTTCTGTTATAGATACTTCTTTCTCTTCAAATGCTCAAGAATACGTTATTTAGTGTTTAATTTACTAAATATTGTTTTTAAAATTGCGATAGATGTTGATTTAAAACCTGTTTTCATTTTTAACCCAAAGGGACAGTTTGCTAAGAAGGCCTTTTAATTTCGTTTTGGCATTTTGCGTTGGTTCACTATTATCGGCTTTTCACTTTTCAAATTGTTACCACCGGTTACAGCCCTGGATTATATTTAAAGAAAGTAAATAATGAAGAATCTGCAGGAATGTATGTATGTTTCTCTCACTGTGAAAAATAACGGTACCTAGAGCCATCAGATTTTGAATAATGTAATCCTCCATTCGAATATGGGCATCTGGAAGCCCGACTTCGGAATTTGTTTTATTATCTATTTCATATTTTGTAAAACTTTAACGAATTTTTTATGAATAAACTCAACATTTCAAAGCGAGCAATGGCAACACTGGTACGAAAGAAAAATTTATCTTCAGCGTGCGAGACTATGTATCGGATATTTTAAAGATATGCTCTTTTAAAATTATGTTGTGATACTGCTGTTGAATTGAATTTTATGGTTTAAGGGCGAAGAACATTATATTTCATAAATAAAGTAAGATTACTGTAAGATTCTGTACTGTGTACTTTTAAGTTAAAGTTGAATTTAAAGAATCTTAAGAACTGTTAAGCGAATAATCGCTTGAGTTAGTGATATAAAAAACAACAAGTGAGAAGGGTGAAATAACCCATCATTATTCCAATAAGGTGTAACAGAACTCCGTCTTGGAGTTGCACAATAAAGCCGACACTCGGGCTTTGACTTAAGAGACTAAGAATTAAACTAAACTAATATTAACTAAAAAGATATAGCCGAATCTATCAAACTTCTAACAGAATTGGCCCCTTAACGCTAATTACTTCAAAACTATCAAGGGCCTAAAGTGCTGCTGAGCGTAATAATAGCTTAAGAGAAAGTAGCCTTAAAAGGCGGACGCGTGCTAGCCAGAATCATTTAACTAAGAACTGTTAAGAACTTCGCTGTTAAACTACTCCTCAAATTTGCATTCAAATGTGATTCTAAAAATACGTTCTGACCGGAAGTGGTAAGTTGAAATTAAGAAGCTATAGGAAAGGAACTTTAACTCAAAATTTAACTGTTAGAAAAATTAACATAATCCTTACATACAGAACAATCGAAAAAAACCCTCTTTGAGCGTAATATAAAATTTGAAAGCTTTCAGATTTTTTTAAATTTAATTTTTTGTAATGTCAGTTGTTGTTTTTTCAATAAATACAAGAAACAGATAAAAATATAATCAAAACATGAATTTTATTTTTCCTTCTCATACTTGTGCGTTACAGCAAAATCAACATAGTTCAGAATATTTTATTATATTAAATCTTCTAAACTATTTACACTGTACTAGCATTGCAGACGGTATACATAAAATTCTTATGAAGCTGTATATGATAATTTATGAATATATTTCACTTATAACCTCCTGTTTAATAATTACAATTTAATGTTTAACTGCTTTAATAACGAATTGTTATTTAATGATACTAAGAACTAAGTAAAACTACTTCGTAAAACTGTAAGCGATACTGAGTATACAATAATATCAGATGTATACATGCATGTTTTGCTAATATGACAGAATAAGAAGGAACAATCCACAACTATAAGAAGCTACATGAAAAGCCACGGTTTACTGCAACACATATTTTATCTGCTTCATTTAATATTTATTGGTAGGAAATATTAAATTCATTTAAATGCAGTGATTAAGTTTTAATACATTAATTTCTCATTTTAACGTTAAGTCATATATTTCTAGAATACATTTTTGCAGGCTTTTCATTTTTTACATTTATTTCGATGATGCATATTTACAGTGTTATAAATAATTTAAGCAAATGATGAAGGATGGTCATTATTTTTAAAACACCATTTTTTTGTTCATTTGCTGCACTGAAGGACCTATTTTAGCATCTAGGAACCAAGAGCATGAAATTATTCTCGCAAATCTGGAATCACGGTGATTCCCATTCTTCTCATTTATGCTAGCTTCTTTTTGTACGCATAGAAGATGTTCTTCACAGACTTCTTCGCCTTCTAAAAAAGAGAGTCAAATGTATTACATTTTTTAGAAAAAATTCAGATGAAACATATATTTTAACAATATAAGTAGCATGTTAAAAAATTCTTTGATACTTTATTTTCAATAACATCTTATATGCAGAAACTGAAAGTAATTTTTTTTTTTAGTTAAAATAGAATGTTAGCAACAGCAGATATTTTAGATTTGTGCTATTCAAGTCTTATAACTCAAGCAAGAATTGTATAAGTGATATTTCATTACAAAATGTGGGCATTATAGATTAACAAAAGTTTTTTTTTTTTTTTTAATTTTTCCTTCTGTCTAACAACTGTGTTGATCTTAGGGTAATTTTAATTTCAACTATTGTTGCTTAAAAAATTATTTACACGATTACTATGAATGACTCATTGGATTTCAAAATATTACATTGTCCAAAATGCAACTCAAACCTGCTGCTTCGGTTATAGTGATATTATGCCAGTAAATAGACACACATTTACGTTAGACACACTTTTTGTTCTCTTCTTAGTGAACTGGAGCATTGTAAAATTGTTTTGACAACAGTTTTTCTGCAACATGCGCAACTTTTATTATTGGAAATTTCCATAAGAGGCACACATCCAAGCACCGATGCTACTGAAATAATAACATCATCGACAGTGAATTAGAGCATTTAAACTTGTTTGTTTTTATAATAGATTTTTTTAAAGCATGTACCATTGCTGTTATCAAAAGTTTACTAAACGATATTATTACCTTGATTCCGCAACATCATTCATAATTATTTTATGATTCAATGAAGGTTTTGATCATATGAAACATGCTGCTGCATACCGGATGTTATACTATGCTCAGAATGCTTGAATAATGTAGATGATCTGAAAAAAAGAACGTCTATGTCTGAGATACCTGTACTATATGATATTACAGCGTCATCTACCAATCGATCGAACATTCTGAGATAATGTTTCCTTGCTTCAAGTAAAATTCTACCATTGTGTGGTAATTAGGACATTTGAAAATCGTCGGATAGGAGATTCTGCACATTCTGCGGATTTATATCTTCAAGGGGTAGAATTAGTAAATTTTTAAACATAACATGTCACGAAATTCTTATTTTGTGAGTGCACCCGGCTGATTAAGATCAGTTAAAAGACACGAAGAAATGGTTATTAGCTTTGTAAGCACAGTGACAAAGCTATAAATCTATAGACAAAATAGTTTTGATTTACTGCAGATAGAAATATATACAGTTAATCTATCATAACGCCTCTTCTATAACAAGAAGTCTCAAGACGGCAGTCTTAAAAACTTCCCGTTATACTAGCTTCAATCTTTCATGTTCGTTTCAGTTAAGTAAATGAATAAAATTTATAGTTATGATTCTTGCTCAAAAACACTCTCTTTCAGTGAAAGCAATAAAATTTCTAAGGAAAACATGCATTCAGTTATAATAAACTTCAGAATTTTATCAATTTCATCAAAAAGATGTCAGCTCATTTTAATCGCTAAGAGTACATAAGCTGCATGCATAATTGGTCCATGTGTTCCAGAAGAAGACCGTCTATCTTTGCGTAGTTGAAAATCGAGCATCAACCACGGATGAAAGCATGATTAATCAAGCATGTTACTATGAGAGAATTTTGTTTGTGTGAAAATCAGAATGTCATCGTTCCTGCTTGTCAAACATCAATTGTTACCACTTAAAAACCGCAAATCTGCTCTCTTCGGCCAATGCAGTTTTCTTTCTATGTTTTATTGCAGCGGTTCTGAACTTTTATACTTCACATGATCCCTTGAAATGTGTACGTATTGTAATTAGCACATTTTTCATTTATAGACTTGTAAAATTGTAGCTGCAATATAGTAATGAGAACAATGTAATGATGTAATGTAGATACAATGGCTTTTGAACTCCACGGTACCACAAGCTCTGAAGTACTATTATACCAAAACAGAGAGATGCATATTTCCTGAGATTTAAACAGACAAGAAAATATAACGTTGTTGTTTTTATTCCTTACTTCAGGCTGTGGCATTAACCCCACAATCTTCATGAACAATTAGGGGTGATTGCATTTGCTCCTGTCGCTGTACATCAAAGCCTTATTATCACCAACTGCTTAAATGACTTTAACCATCTCCATAATTTTAATAGAGAATAACTAAGGAGGGAATATGAACTCTAAAAACTCATATTACTTTTTTCTAATCACTAGCTTCTCAACTGGATTTTCGGACTGGCAGATCGAATTACTAGATTATGGCAGGGGTGTCGGTTAGAGGAAAGGGATGCTTTAGTAGAGGGTTTTTAAAGGAAAATGGAGTTCATTTTCACTAAGCATATAAGAAAAATGCCAATGCACTATTCCATTCCCTCGGATTTGAAGTACGGCCAAACTACTACTATTCAGCTGTCTTTTTCACTCGACCACCAATGAGCTTCAGATGGGCAGATTAAAGGCGTCATTCAGCAAAGATATTATAATTACAATTATGCTTTAACTTGGCTTTTTTGGTGTAGAAACTGCTTCCATCGACCATTTTACTGATAGGAAGTCTGGCATTATTACGTTAATTCGTAACTCATTTTTCCAAAATGTGAGACATTTGAGAGCTATCTTCTTGAGGTAAGGATTACAGATCTGCATAATGCCCATGATATATTCTCTATTGTTTGCGTCTTTAATTAGTTATATAGAATTAATTTGAAAACGGTTGAGATATTAAATTGACTATTATCTGTAATTTAAGTAATCGAATCAATAATGATATATTTTTATACGTGTAATACCCGTTTTTTTTTTTTTTTTTTTAAATGTGTAAAATAGTTTATGATTTGGAAATTCTAAGACTAAATACTGATTTTCTTGTGTATGAAAATGCCGAGGAAAATCTGCCAAATAAACTTTTCAAATTTAAATATTCTTTTTTCAAATTTCATTTCGCGGTTGACAGAAATTTAAGGTACGTTGTAGAGACATTAGGTATTTTTTGGAAGCAGGCAAGATGAAAAATATGCAACACCTTCGCCGGGAATCGAACCACGGACCTCTGGAATACGCGCTCAGCGTGCAGACCACCACACCCTGAAGACACACTAAGAAGGCGGGAGAATTACCTTATATACTCCCCCCTTTTAAAGGGCGACTGGGGTTTTTATTAAACCCAATCGCCAAATCCTGGGCGAGGAGAATCATCATCTAACACTCTTTAAGTTCGGGCGCCACTGTACAGTCATTACGTATTTTTTGAAATCTGGCATGATGAAAAATATGCAATGCGTTCGCCGGGAATCGAACCACGGACCTCTGGAATACGCGCCCAGCGTGTAGACCACCACACCACACCACGAAGGCGGGAGAAATACCTTATAACGTGAATTACATTTATTCTGTTTCAGTTGCACTTCTGCATTCTTAACGGACACATTTTAAAACTGCATACGCTTTGTAGAACAAATTTTGAGTTACTACAGTTTGCTTCTAATTTACAAAAAAAGCAATTTGGGTTTATAAGAATTACGGAAGGAGATGCTTTATTGTATTGCAATTTATGCAAAAGCTTTTCTTTATGGGTGGCATATTTTTGTGTTTCATTTATATTCTACTTGTTGGTTAATCAGTTTCCTTAGTATTTAAGAACGACCTAGTTACCGAAGTTTTTCAGATAGTTTACCATCTATTATTATTTCTTTCTGCAGATATTTCCGTCCTTATTAAGGAAAAGCAGGAGTACGCGTGCAAAGAAATAATAGAATGCAATAAAAGACCAAAACTCCGAAAATTCTATTATTTCTTTGCACGGGTACTTCTGTCTAATTTATTCTTACAAACAAGCGTTTTAGAGTAATCAAACTGCTTTAAAGTGCGGTTACATGTTGCTGCAGGAAGGCTCAAGTAGAAAATGCTATTATCTGAAGAGATCTGGACACGCATGCGTGATGCGGAAGTGGAATTCTATATTGCGGTGGTGATTGCAAGAGAAATGATCGTTTCTTATTTTAACGTGCACTATCGATAATAATGATTTACTTATTTTCATAGCTAGTATACTAACTCATGTTGTTACTTTACATTAACTGTTAATTAATTTAACACTTTTAATTAGCAACACTAAAGATTTATTTATTATGCTGTTTTTTCGAAACATGTATAAGTCTTTTGAATTCTTTTGTGCTGTTTCGTATTTTATTTTGGATAAAGCTTTCGAAATATATAATTACATTTTAGCCTAGTTAAGCCGGAAAGAATTATTCATTCTCACTTATAGCGTTCTTAATTTACTTTTTTATTGCCCTGAGTTGGCAACCATTCACTCATTCGTTCTTTAATTTGTGTATCCCATTGTATTCTACTTTTATTACTCGGCAGGACTTAATTTCTAAGATTAGATGTGCCGGAAGTCTATGGAAGGCTCTCATTAAAGAAGGAAAAAAAAATAAATGACAAATAAAATAATTAAGTAACTATTAATTAAAGTAATAAAGTAATTTAATTAAAATTAAAATTCAATACACTATAAGAGATATTTAAAATTAATAATAAACAGTTAAATAATAAAGTAAAATATTGGAACTTGTCTTATTTAGAGCTCCGACTAGAATTACAGTTTCACTCAAAAACTAAGAAATAGCTCAGCCGGCCTTAAGGTAAATTAAGTCCTGAGTATATGATGCACTATTTCAAGAGATGATAGAAACAAAAGCCATTGCTTTTCCAGCCCACCAAAAGAAAAAGGTAAAATTGTAAAGTGTCACTAATGAGATAGAGAAAAAGCTGGAAAAGTATGAGAGTGTGAAAAGAAATTTTAGTGAAGAAATGTATTTTCGAATATAAAATAAGAAGAGTCCTGCCCTTTCTGATCACGATGCCCTGCGATATAATTCTAGTTGTTAAGCAGAAATGTGATAGGGGAATAAAAACTTTCCCCCGAGTCTAATCCATAACAACGAGAGAAAAAATATAATGCTTTGTGCAAATGACAGTTTTCCTCGCCTTCCCCCCCCCCGTATTTGGTTACACCGTTTCCAAAAAGTCTACAGGTCCTCTGAAGTGGAAGTCGCTAATACTGAATGTGCACGAACAGCGTGATCACTTTTTTAGACATGAGAAATTTACATGCTATTATAAATCCGTTGAACTTTCTGGAGAATAAACCTTTGTTTTGGGGAGTTTTTCTTTCCTTAAGCTTCCTAACCTTCGTCAAAAAGTAATGGTTTGTTTCCCAGGGAAAGGCAGACGTGCATTCAGAAGTTAGAATTGACTTTTAAGGTTCATTTTTTGCTAAAATAAAATTTGTCTGCTGAAATTATAGTCCATTTATATATAAGAAATGCCGGAACCCTTTTATTTAAGGCTTTAATGTGTTCCGGCTGGAATCCGCTTTTATAAATTCATTGCACTTCCTGGAGAATAAGCCTTGTTGTTGGTGGAAGCGTTTCTTTCGTCAAAATTCACAACCTTCCTCAAAAGGTAAAAGTTGTTTCCCAGGGAAAGACAGACGTGAAATCAATGTGTTACAACAGAATAGAATTTTAAGGCTTATTCATAGATGAAGTAAAAGCCTGCTGTAACTATCGTTCATTTACACAAACGAGGTGACGGAACTCTTTTATATAAGGCTCCGGTGTGCTTCGGCTAGAATTACGACTTATTCCAAAAATTAAGAAGTACCACAGCTTGGCTCTAGTGGACTCCGGCGCAATTTAAGTTGTGCTATTCGCGCCTTTACATTCAAATGTAGCTATAAATGAATAGTTCTGTGTAAATCGCCGCCTATGTTCTACTCATTTTGCAGACCAGAAGTATGCGTCTACAATGATCATAAAAAATCCGTTTAAGGATTTTTGAAATGACAGTATAAATGCGCTTTTAAAATGAAGGCAGAGAACTGCTTTGATGCAAGTTTTCTTGATTTGTCTAAGCAATTCAGATACTTACGACAAATAATTCGTAGTACAATAAATTTTTTACCTGTATTCATTTGAAAAGGAAATTAAATTTCAGTGTTATTATTTACGTACCAATGCCCGTGGATTAATGAAGAAATATTTTTTCGAAAACTGCATACATTTCAAATCATGTGATATATGATATTCTTTGCGTTATACCATAAAATTTATCATGCCTTTTCCTTCACGGACTATGGAAGGTATTATGATTTTTAGAAACGAATTAGGTATTATCTATTTATACTGGATTATATATTTTATATATATCTATTTATATTGGATTCATGGGCTATGGCAACCAAAATTTGCTGTTGATCATTTATTGCTATTCAGTTTAGCATTGTTCATTGGTCGATTTTCAGATAAATGCAGAAGCACCTCATAAAAGTGGGATTCGCTTTGTCTGCAGTTAGAATTCTCGAATTATAAGCAAATATTATTCTGTCAAAACTTCCATTGTTATAAAACACCAAATTGGCAACCGTTGTTACTTAGCTTCCCAAGCTATCCCTACATTAAAAATCATAGTAACTGAAACTAAAAATATGATAAACAGTACCAGATCATGATGTCTATTTTCACTTTTATTGTTAACACAGTAGATTAAGAAATTCATTGTTTTGATATGCATCAAATCATTCATACGCCTGCCTGTTGGATGATATTTAAGAAATTCTTCATCCGAAAGAATATATTTTTAATCTTTCTTGAATTCTAGTACCAAAAGCGAATGTATTAACTTTCACTTCAAGCGAGGTTTTGTATTGTGTTTATTGTATCTTGTCTGCATCCATGAAAATCCATTCGTATTCAGCAATGAAAAAAATATTCCTATAGAATTTTTGTTACAATATTCTTCAGCATATATTTACATCAAAAAAGTAGATTGCGGGTTTTTTTTTACACCACGCTTTAGATTTTTAATATCTGTAAAACATTTTTAATCTGCACCGAAAGCTACCTACGGAAAGATGTGATAGCAGTATTATTACTTCAGAATATTAATCTTTTGCTACCACGTTATTCATAGCTGGCAACCCTAATTATAACAATAAGTTTTGAAAAATGAATATTTTGCGGATATAGCATAAAACTATGCTAATGTACACAGACAAAATATTAAACGAAATTTTGCTTTCTATTGCCTGAGTTTTTTTCATCTTATAAATGGTAATTCTGCATATCTATGCTCTCTTTTTCTAAATAATTCGTAACATAATTTGAATACAAATTATTCATAGAATTAAGAGCCAAGTATACGCTGCTAAATATATTCGGTCACAGTGAAGTGCTTGTACCTCTGAATGAAATTAAATTGTGTTCTTAAATAACGGAATTTTTGTATGTTAATGCAGCTACAATAAAAATTATACATCACACAAATGAAATTTAGAAAGTACGTATATTTAGTAAATACTGTGTAAATTCGAAAGCAAAATTTTTGAGCAGCTTGTCTTAAAGAAACAGACATGTAAATACCATCATACTCAGCAACAATTTATACCTTTACTTGCTTGAAAGGCTAGCTGAAATCATACTCGTATAATGGGTTTGTAGTATAACTTGAACGAAAATCAATTCGGGAAAGTGCACCACATATGTGATGAACAAGGTACGGGTTTTGTGATTGAATCTTAATATTATTTACATGAAGATTAGAGCAAGATATTCAAGGATTGCGTAGTATAGTTTTATATATTTATTTATTTATTTTGAATTTTCCGCCACAAATCATTTTTATGAGTTATTCAAAGTTTATAAAAAAAGCTTTTATCATTTACAAATTCCTTTTATGATTCCTTACAATACGGAGAAATATTTTAATTGAAAATTATAATTGATCAGTATTATTATGGTGCTTAATAGGTGCAGCGAATTTTCTGGCAAAAATCATTATTACTTGAAGCAGGAAAAGCAAAGAAAAATACTTTTTTTATATGTGTATGTGTGTGTGGGGGGGGCAATGTGAGTAATGCTTATAATAAGAAATAAAACTATGAAAAGCAAAATTTACTTACAACGTTTGCTTAATTTAAGGCTGACGACTACCAAAACTTCCAAATCGAGAACTTAGTTGAGGCCTGCTGCTATCTCCTAACTGAAAAAATCTTGTTTGTCTAACAGGTTGACTAAAACCCTGAGGTTCTATAGGCTGGCGTTCAAAACGTTGAGGTTGAAATACTGGCCTCTGAAAGCCTTGACCACCGAAACCACTGCTTGGCTCAGATAGTGCACGTGGTCTGTTGGGTTGCAAATTGATATGCTGATAATCATAACCATGTCGGGTATAATGTGGAATGGCTTGTTTCTCCGCTACTACAAGATGCACATCATAGGCAAAGGATGTGCCAATGATGATACAGAAAACCTGCAATATAAAATATTGTAATAAGCTTAAAATATGCAGACACAGGGTGTAAGAATTTATTTTCTCATACATACTTTCTCAATACAAAACTTATAATTTTTAATTCGTAAAATCCCTTGATTACTATTCGTAATTAGGAGATTCTTCCTTTATCATTACATATACTGGACATTGCGCAATAAAGTAACTAAACGCCGACAGAGCATTTTATGTTGGAAAATAAGCTGGAAAAAAATAATCCTATGAATGTTTAGCAAAAAATGCATAGTTTATAAGTTACGTGGCGTCGAACATCAATGACAATCGCATGCGATGGCTTTTGTCCTGTGGGAAGTATTGCAGTTAAGGCGGACTACATCTTCAATAAATATTCTACTCGTAATTTGTGCAGAAAGGATCTAAATGATTCAGAAACGCTTGAGTTCGTCATAGTTGGCTCAGTGAGAGAATGAATCTCCTTTTATTACTCATCTTCAATATGTTCATCGAATAATGTTCATCGAACAGCTATTTGTTCATCGAACACTTTTTACTTATCTTCGGTGATTTTATTATGGGAGAATCTGTATTTATGCACAATTTTTCTGTACCAGTTTCTTAAGTATCATTTTTAACAATTTTTTATAACAGCTCCTGTAAAAGGCTTTTAAGTAAATAAATTAAATATATTAAACACTTCAGACTGTAGCGTAATTCTCCTTGATTTCCCATTTTTATTATTCTTTATGGGTGACTTCGGTAGTCGTAGAAAGGCGAGGAACTCTTATCCGCCTCAGATAAAGACTATAATATGTAGAATTTTTCGTTTTTTTTTTTTACCAGGAAACACGAATAATCTGTGATGCCTTCTCCGGAATTCGAACAATTCGAACTCCGGCTGCTAGCCGACGTGCTTTCAAATTACACCACCAAAGCACGCGGCGAGGGAGGAGAAAATTCCTTACATTCTTCTCACCACTTAAAGGTCGACTACGTAGGAGAGGAACCAGTCACCAAATCCAGGCAGTGACGAATTATCATTGCACCTCATTTTCCCACATTCGAACCCCATTCAAATCACATTCGAACAATTGAACTCCGGCTGCTAGCCGACGTGCTTTCAAATTACACCACCAAAGCACGCGGCGAGGGAGGAGAAAATTCCTTACATTCTTCTCACCACTTAAAGGTCAACTACGTAGGAGAGGAACCAGTCACCAAATCCAGGCAGTGACGAATTATCATTCACCACATTTTACTTCGAGTGCCACTTGTAGAGCTATTAGGTACCCAACAGACCAGGAAACATGAAAAATCAGCAATTTTGCACCTCCCGTTTACTAGCCAGACACGCTTTCTAATTGCACCATGAAGGCATAAAGTAGAAAATTCCTTACAAACAATCAATAAAACTTTTAGTTTAATGAACCTAATTGCGATAGCCATTTCATGATTCACATAATTCTTCTAGGAATATTTTCTAGTGAGGCTTAGAAATTTCAGTACAAGAAATTAACACCGAAGAAGGTTTACCTTAATGCGTAGATATAAATTTATATGAAAAAAAATCTATAAATTTGTTTAAATACAAATAAAATTTTTTACTCTTGTCAATTACTTAAAATAACTAATGAAATATTTTATTTCAGTAATATATTATTTTCTTAAACTAAGTTGTAAAAAGTAATTTAGTTCAAGAAAGCAATTTTAGGCACAAGTTTTAGCCATAGTATGCACTGAAAGAAAGTGGATATTTTAAGAATGCCCTCTTTCTTTTAATTGGATAAAATATCCTCCTTCCTCAAAAAAGATACATTATACAAATATAAATAGGAAATTATCAAGGATGTTACGCACTTTTATTTGACGTAAAATATTTTTAAACTAAGTTCTTGCTTGAAAATATATTATTAATGAAAATAATTATATAAAAAATTCACTCTTAAAGAAGCAAGTTAAAGGAAAAAGATCGAACGCAGAATATTTATGAGATAATTAGAAACCTCAGACACACTTTTTTTTTTTTTTTTGTAATTAAATGCATTTTATGACAAGCTGAAAACAATAGGACTATTTTAGGAAGAAAACTTAGGCGGTGTTTTAATTTGTTTAGAAGAAAATGAGGATACAGTGACTGTTTTTACTTTCTTGTATTAAGCACTGTAATCACGAAAAATTCCGGGCAGCATATTTCAACAGAAATACCTATTTGAGTGTTCGCAAATCCATTTAGACGATTTCTTGCGCAACATTTGTACTTTCGGACAGAATAAAGGACTCTTTTTTCCAAAACGGATTGTAAAACGGATTTAAGATAGATACAGAAGAGATTTTTTTTCATAGTGTCTGTACGTCTGTACTACGTATGTATGTATTTCGCATAACCAAAAATCGATTAGCCATAGAAAGTTGAAATTTTGTATATGGGATTGCTACAACATATAGTTGTGCACCTCCTTTTTAATATTGCAGTCGGCAGTACCAAAAGTTTAAACAAGCAGGATTCTAAAACTAGTTCTAATTTCCATTTTTGATTATGTTATATATATCATTTTCAATTGATTCAGTTGATTGAATTTTCAATTTTGAATTTGATTTAAAAGAGGTGAGTGTATATTCATACATACCCACCCCTTTTACCCGATTTAAAAGTCATACCCGGCCTTTAATTTCGCAAATATTGGTTGTATACTTCCTGTTGTAGAAGTGTTTTAAATGATGAAAATATTCATGTTTTGGCAATTTCAAATTATACAGCTAATCGTTCTTGAGGTATGAGAGATATATACATATACACGTACGTACATCACGTACAAATTTCTTCTGAATCCATTTTGAATCTATTTTATAATCCGTTTTGGAAAAAAAAAAAAAAGAGTTCTTCATTTTTTCTGTACGTACAGGCATCACGCAATAAAGAAGATCGTCCAAATGGTTTCGGAAACAGTCAAAATGAATATTTCCGTTGAAATACGATACCCAAAATTTTTCGCGCTTACAGCACTTCGTACAAGGAAGTAAAAAGGTTTTTATCCACAAATTTACGAATTTATGATAACAGCATCTTGGAAACAGCATCTTGGTTTCGTTGAAAAATAAATCTGATTAATTGTTTCTTCAATATTGTATAAATAAGGTAAAGAATTCGCTACAATTTATGAATAATTAAAATACTTGTAGAATATTTATGTTTGTCGAAACATGAAAAATGAGCAGTGCTCTCATTACGATTCGAACCTCCCCGACTGCTAGTCGGACGGGCTTTCAATTACACTGCGAAGGTACTTGGTAGGAGGGAGAAAATGCCTTATATTCTCACCCACTTAAAAGGTGCCTGGGGAGGTGAAGCTCAGTTGCCAAATCCTTGGGAGTGACGAATTATCGTTTATTACATTTTATTTCGAGTTCAACTGTAGAGTTATTTGAAATTTGTTTGGAGCAGGGAAACCGAAGAAATCTACAGTGCCTTCTGGCAGCTGAGCACGGGACATCGCGATTTCTAGGCAGACATGCTTCCAATAACAAAGGCATAGGAGGGAGGAAATACCTTGCCTACTCTTTAAAATGAGCTTTTTTTTACGATATTTTTAAGCCAAGTAAAGAACCTAAGCCTGCGAAACTATTATAGAGTTTGCTACAAGACCAACGTCATAGGAAGATTTTCTAAATCTCTAAATGGTCATTATTACACTGATCTAATCGACGTTACCATCAGGGCTTGAATTGTGAAACTGGGCTCACCCCCTCTTATGACTGTGATTTACGAGACCCCTTAACCACTCCTTTAACGTTTGTTCCCGATATTAGAATCATTTGATATAGAATCCATTTTTTGCTAGTACTGCCGTTTGAGATCATTGATAATTTTATCATAGTTATATCAAAAGTTTTAATGACCCTACAAGTAAAATTCAGATAGCTTTAGGTTATAAATTTTGTAATGATTCTCTCTTGTTGACCTATGCAGTATCCCAGAAACTTGTTATCAATCTATATATGCAGAGTTTACGGAAAGCCCTGCATGATTCAAACAGTTTAATTTATAAATATCAAAAACTGACATAAGACAGCAAATTAAATGGACAGTATGACAATTTAATCTCATTTTTAAACCTTAATACGTTCTATGTGGTAACTCGGATGGGATTTTAAATAATCGCATAATAATAAACTAAAACATTAATATAATAATAAAGTAAAAAAATTTAATAGGTAATAAATCATTCTTTGACCATGTGAGAAAGAAATTTAAAGAATTACGGACCAAAAACTTAATTTTAAATAATCGCGCTGCGTATCAGTTTGAAGGAGTAAAATATAACCAACAAATAAAAGGAAATAGGAAGAGAAAAAAAGGTGTTTTTTTTTTTTTTTTTTTTTTTTTTTTTTTTTTTTTTTCCAGCTCTAGTTGATCTTGGATTCGAAGGTTATTCTTCATCTGAAAGTAATATTCGATGACCGTGAAGAAGGTCAGTTTCTGTGAAAATTTGAGATAACTGTTACTTTTATTCACGCGACGTTTATTGCGGTTAGCAAATTGTTCTCTATATTTACATCTATTCTTCGGAAAAAAAAAAAAAAGTTTTCTTTACCCCATTTCTTTTCTTTTTCACTGTTAAATGTTACGTTTAAGTTATATTCTTACATATGCAGATAAATAGGGCGCGACTTTCATTTTAGATTTCAATTAAATTTGAATTAAAAAAACTTACATAAATAGGATTTGTTTCATAAAAGACTGAAAAAAAAAAAAAAAAAAACTAACATATGTAATTTTGTATGCGTAAAAAGTATAAAAAGTAAAAACTATAAAAAATAAAGTACTTTATGATAAAATATATATGCTTCAGTGAATATAACGATTATCATAAAGAGAATACAATATTTTATTCCTTAAAATAAATATGTATTTTTAAAAAGTCTTAATGTATATTTCTAAAATTCCATCACTTTATGATTTCAAAAACGGTATAAAACAATTTATTTCGACGTTTAAATTTAAAGTTTTTATTTAGATATACTTTCCTTATTATTTTTATTATTATTATGAGCGTCAAAAAAATTTAAATCTTAAGTATAAAATCAAAATAATTTTTAGGTAACTAGAAAACATAGTTCTTAAAATAAATTAAAGATGCAACCTTAATTCTTTCGTCGAATATAATAAAAAACGTTGTCCGTAAAAAATATTCTATCGCTTTAATGATATTTCATTTTGCACAAACGTAAATATAAATTTTTAAACCCAAAACTAATGAAAACTCTTCATACGTACGACTGAGTTACTTAGCAAATTTCAAATTTAGTGCATGGAATATTTTTTATGGTTGAAAATTTTCTAAATGGATATTAAATATGCGCACTGAAAAAGTTCTTCAAAATTGCTTGATGTCGTCTGCAGCTCTAAAGCATATTTCGTATAATTATATGAAACGATTTTTAGAAAAAATTCATATAGCGAATACAGGTCTTTTAAAATATTAGAACATTAACTTTTAAACATAACTAAAAAAAAAAAAAGTTTACAAACTTACTATAAGCTTCAGCATTTTTTCCAGGGAGTTGTAAATCACTGGTGAAACTGTAACGAACGAATAAACTGATCACAGACCTATTGACTGTTTATATATATTCGGTTCGCTAGTCAGAGCCGAAGTGGCACAAATGTCACGTGACTTGCGCGGTGAACTTTACCTGGAAACACTTTCTCGCTGTGTTAGACGATACGGTTGTGGAATATTTTTATAGCAGAGAAACTTAGTTTGATAAGAATCTCATTCATTTTACGAAATGTGATTAAATTCTCACCAGACTTGCATACGTTATGAAATTAGAGATAAGTTTTAGGTAATACACGAAATATAAGTAACGCACCTCTCTGATTAATATTAAGACGGGGAACGTAATGATTTTATACTGTAATCAGAAGAATGCATTACCTAATCCCTATTTAATGATGAAAAAATTAATTATTGCTATACATTTTAACTTGAGGTTAGGATAATCCTTGGTAATCATTCACGGTATGACTAAATTGTCCGAATTATTGAACTTTTAACCACTGCATTGTGGACAAGATTATTGTAACTCGCAGTTAGATCAAAAGATAGCAGGTTTCAACCGCGACCAGTGTGGTTTTCTACATTCAAACTTTAGGAACATATATATGGATATTGAGAAATTCGATTATAGGAAATTCTGAATGTAGCTGCAAATATCCAGATTAATGAGACAATCCATCCGGATATTCACAAAAAATCCGGTTAATTTCCTTTCATTTCATTCCTTTCTTTTTAAATACTTCGATGGAAAGCTCTTTGTTATTTTCAGTCCGCGGTTTTCGTGTCCTGGCAAAATAGAAAATGTCGTCACTTGAGGGGAATATTTGTTGCACACCACGTGCGCAAGAGATCCAGTTAAATAAATGCATAACTATGTATTGAATAACTGAGTCCTTTGTTTATGAGTGAAGAAGTCTTCATGCGCCGATAATTTATACTATAAAATAATGCAGCAGAATTTTTTCTTCCTGCCATTTGGCTTTGTCGTTCTGAATAGCTCTTTTTGAATATTCAACAACATTGATTTATGAGGAATTAGTTCTAACATTAATACACCTGTTGTAACTACTTAACTTAAATTTTTAAAGGCGTCAAATTGAAATTGAAAAATTGAAATTGTCAAATTGAAATTTGTAAACCAAGATCAAATTAAAGTTCCCTTTTAACCTTAAAATATTTATATTTTTTAAATAATGTGTTTTTTTAACTTTTTCAAATTTTAATAATAAACTCTTTGCATTGTTAGATTGTAATTTAAACTTATGTTTCCAGATATTGTTACCTTATTTTCAGATTGAAACTTGTTGTTAGCCCATAGGGGCGGTAGCCCAGGAGTACGGTATTTGTGGTACGATATTTTGTGGTGTTTCACTATAAACGGGGAATCACTTCTTAAATCGGCGCCACCAAATGTTATTGCTCTGTATACATTTAAAGAAATTAAATACTGAAGAAATCTACATGAATGTATGCATGTATGTTTCCCGCATTGTGAAAAAACGACGGTACCTAGAGCCATCAAATTTTGAGCAGTGTAATCATCCACCCGAACATGGGCACCTGGAAACCCGAATTTCGAATTTGTTTTATTAGCTATTTCATATTTTGTAAAATTCTAACGAATTTTTGATTAACAGACTCAACGATTTCAAAGCGAGCAATGGCAACAATGTGTAAGGTTCTAACCTGTGTACTTTTTAAGTTACAGTTAAAGCTGAAGAATCTTAAGAACTGGTAAGCGAATAATCGCTTGAGTTCGTGAGGCGGAAAAATAAAACTTGAGAAGGGTTAAAGACCTTTATTATTCCAAATTAATTTCACAGAACTCCTCCTTGGAGTTTTATAATAAGGCCTTCACTCGAGCTTGAACTCAAAAACTAAGAAATGAACTTAACTAAAAAGATATAGCCGAAGCTATCAAGGTTCTAACAGAGTTGGCCCCTTAAAGCTAAATAACGGCGAAGCTATCAAGGGCCTAAAGTACGGCCGAGCCGAATAATAGCTTAAGAGAGAGTAGTCTAAAAAGGCGGACACGCGCTAGTCGGAATCACTGGTTCTCTTTCTAACGAAGTCAGTAGAACTTCACAATTAAATACTTCTCCTCAGTTGCATTCAAACACGATTCTAAAAATACGTTCTGGCCGGAAGTTGTAAGCTTGAAATTAAGAAAAGATAGGACAGTAACTTTAACTCAATTTAACTGTTAGATAAATTAATATAATGATTACAAATGTACGAAAAAAAAAATTCTTATCTCCAGCGCACGAGACTCTCTATTGGAAATTCTAAAGATATACTGTTTTTAAATATTTTGTGATACTGATATTTAATTCAGTTATGTGGTTTAAGTGGTTTAAGAGCGAAGAACATGTTATTTAAAAAATAAAGGTAAAACCACATAAAACATTAAAAAAAGTCCCTTTGGGCGTAATATAAAATCTAAAAGCTTTCGGATTTTTGTTTCGTTTGTTTGTTTCTTTAAAAGAACGATTAGACTGTAATATAAACGAAGGAATTTTATTATTTATTTTTACATCTTATTCATTTAGCGTATCTTGTTTGAAGAAAGATCACCCAGTTTAAAAAGACATACTTTTATACTCAAAAGATGGCTTTTTCTAATCATAAATTTAAAAAAAAGTAGTTGAACGTGTAACATATATTTTGTTACAAAAGCTTCAAATATTGAATTTCACACTGTTATTTTTGTGCTTATTTTAAAGTAATAGCCGATATTTTTACCTAGAATATTCTTCAATAACTAACTTTTATTCTTTCACTTACCCACACATAAAATATACCGTTACTTTGTAGAGATGTACCAGAAATAAAATATCAAGAAAAAGTATATTTGAATTTAATTTGGTATAATGATTACTAATTATAATGGCTTAGAACATAAGCCATCACTTGCTAACTGTTATAATTAGTAATCATTACTTCTGAATAAATTGTTAATCGACTTTTTCTCGATCCTTCTGGTACATCTTTTTTCAACAGAAATCGATTCCTATTTTCATTATAAAGAATTTGAGGTTGTTTCCATTTTAAAGTGTTTGAATTTGAGATTCTTTTTTCTATCATAAAGGAGTTTAATTAGGTATATATTCCAACGGAAATGCTGTTCATGATCGACAAGAGGCCTAAATTCTGAGGAAAAAATCAAGATTGGAGTTCAAAAACGAATGTTTGACGCTATTTTGATCACTATAATTTAAGCTTCAGATGGACTTAGAAATTACATATTTAATGCACAGGTTTAATCTCTATCTCTACATATAATAAAAAAACTGTCTGTGTGTGTGTGTCTTTCGTTCGTGCTTGTGCGTAAGTTAATAGACCCAGGGCTACGAAATTTGGCACACTGGTGCATCTGGACAAGAGCCAGTGCACCTCGAAGCGATTTTTCAAAATTCGAATCAGATTTCTTATTATTTTATCTTTTTTGATGAAATCGCATCATTTCGAATAGTTTCATTCTTTTAGAAATGTGGTTTCGGCAACAGTTTTTGATTCAATGCTTTGTATACTGGACTGCCACTAGCAAAAATGAGGGCCATAATTCTGTTCAGCCTTTTTTTTTTTTTTTTTAATTTTATATTTTTCTTGGATACTGGAAGTTTGTTGAGAGAAGGCAACGGGAAGTTGGTTAATTTATTTAATAGGATAATTTATATATGTACTAAGGGATATTGCTTACTTCACTGTAATTCATTTTGTTCATTCATTTTTATATGTAATATATTTTTATTGACATTTGTGTCATTTTTTTTCTTCTTTGATAAAGTTGTTCTGCAGAGTAAAATTTTATGCAGTTTTTTAATTTAATGTTTGGCATTTAGACATTTTTCCGGTACATTTAAAAGCTAGACGAAGGTTGGCTGCGTAGCTGCTGGTGTTGCATATTAAGGCTTTTTAATATAATGTTTCTCGTTTAGCCTATTATCCCAGTCACAACCCAAGGAATATCATTTCTTGTATGTGAGTTGCTTTCCAAGGCATAAAGTGACTATTTTCAGATCTCTCCAGATATGATACGATATTTATTGAGGTACTGCTCAGCAAGGATTTCACGTTTTCATAATGTCGTGTAGATGAAGTGATCGTACAAATGAAGAGGAAAGTACTGATTGAGACAATCCATGCGGATATTTACAAAAGTCCGGTTAATTTCCTTCAATTTATTTCCTTTCTTTTCAAATACTTCGATGGAAACCTGTTAGGTGTTTGTTATTTTCAATCCGCGAATTTCAATTCAAGTCTTAACTCAAAAGCCCTTACTATTCGAACTGAATAAAAACCACTTATGTACACTTGAGGAACAAATTGGAACATTCTAGACTTAGTACGTTCTAGAAAATGGAGGACATTCTCCAATAAATGGAACATAAAGGAAATAAGTTAACAGGAAGGAAATTTAAACAAAAACCAATGGACTTTCGGTTTTCGAATCCGGCATATTGCTCATTGAGCCACGATGTGCTCGGTTGAAAGAAGCAATTTTTGCAATAATATACCTAGTTTATTCGCGTAATACTCGCACCCCCTTTTCGAAGCAGGAAAAAATTGTCAAAAGTCTACAGTATTGTTGCGTGCGTACGGGTTCGTAATAGATTGAATACACAAGTCCGATAAAAGGTTAATAAAATTTATTCTTATCGCAAGGAATAGAACAAAACGTTGAAATTTTTCTCCGAGATATCCGTACAATATCACAATATCACGCAATATAATCAGTAGTTATACTTTAAACTACTCAAAACGCTAAAATACAACGCATGCAAAGAGAAAGCTAATCCGATCGCGAATTCGCAAAAGAATAACAACAGCTAGCTAAACATCAACTGAGATGAGATTTCCTCTGTCTGGCTTTTTATAACTTTAAATCGGTCGAGAGAGAGTCTAGCAATTTCTGCTTTTCGAGATTTCTGGAAAGCAAAAGAACAGAATTACGGTTACAGCTAACGTAGTAGTCAATTACATTTATTCAAATTAAATATAAATTACGAGATATCTATTTACTAAATGTTAAATGTATTTTTAATTTTCTGGCGTAGCTTTCTCTTAAAATATGTCTCGTGCTGCATTGCACGGGAAAATAAAACAATTTTAATTATAAGTCCACTA